AATCCCATGTCTTCCTTTTAAATCCCATGTCTTGCTTTTCAATCCCATGTCTTGCTTTTCAATCCCATGTCTTGCTTTTCAATCCCATGTCTTGCTTTTAAATCCCATGTCTTGCTTTTCAATCCCATGTCTTGCTTTTCAATCCCATGTCTTGCTTTTCAATCCCATGTCTTGCTTTTAAATCCCATGTCTTGCTTTTAAATCCCATGTCTTGCTTTTAAATCCCATGTCTTGCTTTTAAATCCCATGTCTTGCTTTAGGACAGTAGTTTATTTTAGTTTAAGCTTACTTTATTTTTTATTCTATTCTATTTTTTATTTTAAAAAAGTTTAAAAATACTTTTTTTTTAGTTACTGATAGACCTATGTACTTCATTGTATTTCTTACCTCTATGATCCTGAGATTTTTCTGCAAGTATAAGCGATGATAAGTAATTTTAAAGTTCAGAAATAAACCAGTTGTCAGTTGACATAAATGAATTACATTGTCATTGAAAATAAAAGAAAAAATACTTTTACAATTTTTGATATAAATATATCATTAAAAAACATTTTAAATTCTCTTAAATGAATGAAATAGCAAAACGAGGTATGTGGAAGCTTGAATTAGAGAACAGGACAAAAAGTTAAGGATGTTTCTTAAGGATGAATTCTCCTATTATCCTGTTGCTCACCTGAAGAATAAAAAATGGAAAGAATATAAAATGCTAAAAATAAAACACACAACAAAACAAACATTATTATTATTATTATTATATGTGGTTTTATATAGCGTGGTACCCCAGCCTAGGCCTGGGCTCACCATGCTGTACATACAGCCTAGGCCTGGGCTCACCACGCTGTACATACAGCCTAGACCTGGGCTCACCATGCTGTACATACAGCCTAGGCCTGGGCTCACCACGCTGTACATACAGCCTAGGCCTGGGCTCACCACGCTGTACATACAGCCTAGGCCTGGGCTCACCATGCTGTACATACAGCCTAGGCCTGGGCTCACCATGCTGTACATACAGCCTAGGCCTGGGCTCACCACGCTGTACATACAGCCTAGGCCTGGGCTCACCACGCTGTACATACAGCCTAGGGCTGGGCTCACCACACTGTACATACAGCCTAGGCCTTGGCTCACCATGATGTACATACAGCCTAGGGCTGGGCTCACCATGCTGTACATACAACCTAGGGCTGGGCTCACCATGCTGTACATACAGTCTAGGCCTGGGCTCACCATGCTGTACATACAGCCTAGGGCTGGGCTCACCATGCTGTACATACAATTGAACAAACATAATAAAAAATCTGAAATAATTAATTGACATACATTAATTAAATAAAACAAAACAAATGTATATATAAAACAATTTACATCTCAAGCCATGGACGACAATCAGTACCATCGTTTTATGGTTAGAGGTGGGAATCAGTCAGGATAGTAGAGATTAAATAGATGTGTTTTGAGTGCAGTTTTGAAGGCTGTGATTGCCGGTATATTGCAGATGTGTAAGTGTAATGGAAGAGAATTCCATTGTTTGGGTGCACAGAAAGAAAACGATCATTCACCGTATGTTTTTGTGTGAGTCTTGGGGACAGAATTAGGCTTAATTCAAAATATTTAATAAAACATAATATTTTAATGTAACCTTAAATTAAAACTTAAATGAAATGCCATCCATGTGTTTATTTTTATGCTATTAAAATGTTAAAAATAATGGTATGAAATCTCACACTTGTAGCTTCCCGCAGTGTTGACACACTTCATGTTTTCACTACACAAGTTGGCTGACTGATGACACTCATCGATATCCATATCACAGTTCATGGATTTGAATCCAGGTTTGCAAAGGCAGTCACCGGTGGCAACATTGCAGCTGTCTGTGCTGTTTTTATGACATTCACATGTTCTGTTACAATCTGCACCCCATGTCCAAGTGAGGCAGACTATTTATAAAGACAATGAAGCTTTTTAGAGATTTATTAATAATGATCTGCTTATTTTTTGAGGTATCAATTAATTTGAATGAGTTAATCTCTATTTTTAACAAAATTTAGTAACATGTATTGACAGTTCCAGTTATGGCAGTTATTACTAAGCATGAAGTTGACCACACTTATACAAAAAAAAATTAGGGTTAGAATTTAATGAAAAACTTAGTATAATTGGAAAATTGTTTATCTATGTCAGTGGTCTGCAAATCCCGGCTCACAAGCCGCATTAACGAATGGGTGCGGCTCTGCCAGTCAGCCACAAATCGGTTTTGACTCCGAAAAACATGGTTCTTGACAAGAAATATGGCTCTCAAAAATTTTTTAATCGTCCTGCTGTTGATTTTTGGCTCTTTTGACTAATGAGTTTGCCGACCACTGATCAAAGTGAATGAAGGAGAAATCTTTTAGACATAATATCCATCTAAGAATTTCACAATCTTTTATTTATTTTCTAGTTAACTGCACCTTTACAATTTTTTACTTAGTCTCCTTCCTCATATCTGTAAATTTGACAGTGGTTACGGTGTTTTACAATAATTAAGCCAAACATGAACAAGTTTATATTTCCAAGAAAACATTACCTTCACACATGTCATAGTTCAAAGAGCTGTGCTTGAAGCCCTCACTACAATGACATTCATATCCACCATTAATATTGATGCAGTTTGCATTGTCACCACAAGGTGAGTTCTCTAAACAAACATCAATGACCTGGTCACATAAAGATCCTCTGAAACCAGACTTGCAAGTGCAGGTACCATTGTTAGAGCAGATTTCTGTGTTGTTTTTGTCACAATCACAGAGTTCACTGCAGTTGTCTCCCCATGTCCAGTTATCGCATTCTTTGCAATTATAAAAGGATACTCATTTTTCAATTAGCAAATAAAAAATAATTTTTCTTCAAAATATTGAAAGATAGATCTATCTTTAAATGATGCTGCTTTTATTATTTTATTTGTAAAAAATTTATAATAAAATATACAAAATTTTAAAACTATGCTGTGGTAAAGTCAACATAAATTTTCTTTTTATTCAAGGTTAATATAAAAATTTTCACTTTCCAGTAAATTACCTATTTTTTCTCTGCATTGGAATAATCCATCAAGATTAGCATTGACACAGAAAGATCCATGGTCACAAAACAAGACATCCACTGACAATCTGTTTATGACATCACACCAATTGATTGCTGCAATAGATCCATGAGGAGTTATAAATAAATAGCATTCTGTCTCATAAAAATCAAATGCGGGCAAGTAAAATATAAGACAAATAAAGGTTTTATTTTACTATGAAAGTAGTATATACAGCAGTGGTTCCAAACCCCTTCATTGAATCAAATTCTAAGGGGACAGAAACTTAGACCTACCCAATGCTTTAAGCTTTAAAAGTTAATGATGTTATTTCCTTTCCTGGAATAGAGGCAAAGGTTCTGAGAAGTGCACTCAGAGCCCTAGGGCTCCTCTATGCACAGGTTGAGAACCACTGAAATACATAATTTAAAACCAAACATCTCATTTATATTTTGCTTCTCATGTCCTGCTTCATCTTGAACTCCCACCCCCCCCCC